AGCTAAAGGCGTCGTGGGGGTATGACTGGCCACTACGATGGCACAAAGCCGGACCAGAAGGTTCCCTACGAGTCATCAACCTGTTCGACACACTCCTCCGCGACTCGACCTACCTATCCATCTAGCCCGATAGTGTGAACTGCCTCTGGAGGCACGGGGACGTTTAAAACTCTCAATCACTAGTGTAGAGGCAACATCCAACGTGGGCTGCCCCATAAGTGAGCTGGATCGACCTACCTCCAGATGTATTTGGACCTTGGAACGTAGTAGACAAATTTTTTTCGGGATAATCCTGATGAGGGCAATCAAGTGGCCAGCAGCCACACGTTGTCGGATATAGGAGACCTAAAAGACTATTGAAATACAACAAGCCCTAAAAAAGACCGTTTGATGATTAGTTTTTGCCTCGAGGAAGGCAATACCTTAAGAAAAAATTAAAACAGGAGTCAATACGAATTCTTCTAGGAAGTTAGTTTTGGTTATTCAGAGGTGCTTCAGTAGAACAATATTGCTACAATGTGCAATCCAGACTAGGATTCTATATAATACAATATATGCATATATATTTCCCTCATCTTTTACTCCTGGAATCATATCATCCCTGAAAACTCTGCAAAATAAGATTTACATAGTTGTGAGCGCGACTACGGCTGACGCTCGAATCCAAGACTAGGGATTGATGACGGTATGAAGGTTCTTCAGACAACCGTACTGCCCTTCACGGTGTACCCCCACCTGGCTAGGATATTGGATGAGAAAGTTATTAATCCGTTAACAAAGGATATGAGGACCTCATTCGACTAAGTGTTGAGGCCTTTTATATCGAGGATTATCTACAGCATAATCCATAGCTTCCCTAACCAACGGAGTCAGGAGCAGAACGACGACCAAACGTTTCCCCGTTTTGGGAAAGTACAAGAGAACCAGTGAGCTGTTGATGATACTCAAAAACATTCCCTCGCAGTTTTGCGGGAGCCTCTTCAATAACCTATTTGTTATTGAGTCGACCCCCGGAAACTTTTTGGTCCTTGCTGCCTTGATATACCCTCTCAGTTCTTTGACAAGAGTTGAACGGATGTTGTCGTCATCATCTTTCCTGAAGATGCGATGGACATGATTTTCTAACACAGCTATACTCTAAGTGTGTTCCGCGGAACCCTAGGGTTCCATGATACCTCTGTCGGAGTTCCGCAAGAATTAAGAAAAAAAAATCAAAACACCTCTCTCTGGTCGCTCCGCGGACTCCGCGGCCGCGCGGGGACAAAACGCTATGAATGATATTTATACAATATCTCATAAGTTTGGTATCAACAATTTTATACTTGTACAACCCGTTCGCTCTAAGTTTGCCGGTCTGTGGAATGCGCGTACCCTCCCCCACGTGACAACAAAACTTATAATGTGTCATAGTNGAGGTGCTTCAGTAGAACAATATTGCTACAATGTGCAATCCAGACTAGGATTTTATATAATACAATATATGCATATATATTTCCCTCATCTTTTACTCCTGGAATCATATCATCCCTGAAAACTCTGCAAAATAAGATTTACATAGTTGTGAGCGCGACTAAGGCTGACGCTCGAATCCAAGACTGGGGATTGATGACGGTATGAAGGTTCTTCAGACAACCGTACTGCTCTTCACGGTGTACCCCCACCTGGCTAGGGTATTGGATGAGAAAGTTATTAATCCGTTAACAAAGGATATGAGGACCTCATTCGACTAAGTGTTGAGGCCTTTTATATCGAGGAGAGTTATCTACAGCATAATCCATAGCTTCCCTAACCAACGGAGTCAGGAGCAGAACGACGACCAAACGTTTCCACGTTTTGGGAAAGTACAAGAGAACCAGTGAGCTGTTAATGATACTCAAAAACATTCTGACGCAGTTTTGCGGGAGCCTCTTCAATAACCTATTTGTTATTGAGTCGACCCCCGGAAACTTCTTGGCCCTTGCTGCCTTGATATACCCTCTCAGTTCTTTGACAAGAGTTGAACGGATGTTGTCGTCGTCATTTTTCCTGAAGATGCGATGGAGATGATTTTCTAACAGAACATCGCCGTCAATATCATCATCATCGTCGACGCTGAGCTGAAATTGACCATCATGTCGACAAAGGCCAACGCTTTGTCGGCAGGGGAATAGTACATTTCGCGCTTTCTGTGAATGGATCTTCTTCGCTCTGAGCCTACGGGTGAGCCGCCAAAGCTGATCCACCCCAGGCTCAAGGGGTCCCAAGTATTCCAAGAAGGTCCGCTGATAAAGCCTCCTCAGGCGATTCCTTTTGCGTATCAGAGGTTTAATCCACAGAGCAAACTTATTCTAGCTTTTCAGCGGGCGTTCCTCCCTAGGGGTGGCCGCTCAGACATATCATTCACGGAAAGATCGAAGCGCTCGACTGCCTCGTCGAGTATATTGGGAGAGCGGAATGTCTTAGGAGGGTCGTGCATCTCTCCTCCGAAGCAGCCCAATTCGTCGAGGATCTCATGCAATGATCACGGAAATTAGGATCATCACCCAGTACCAGGATAACTGGATTCTGAGAAGCGCAATATCTAGCACGTCAGGTCTATACTGCCCGCGATAGTACGTAGGCTCACACGATGCTTGGTGTTAAAGTCACCAACAGCAATTTTGGTTGGATGGAAGAGCAAGGTCTGCTCATGTTGCGATTTCTCTGTAGCATGGTCAGAAATTGAATCCTGAATATATTTGAAGTCACGGCGATCTAAGTGGAGTTTTATTTTTATCCATTTTTCAAAATGGGGACTACGAAAAAAAATTTTTGCTAAAACTATAAATAGACAGCATCCTGTATACGACGGTTTATTTTAAAAGTCTGTAATATTACGAATTACATAACTATGATGTTACCCACGGTCAATTTTTTGAAGGGTAAAACAATTTTCAAAGTTTTTGGTGCCAAGTTATTTCTATATTTTGTTAACACCGAAAATTACTCAAAATTGTACTGTAACTTAAAATTCAATAATATCAAATCACAAAACATCAAAATAAAATAGGTACTTCGGAACAAACTCATTGATTTTCTGGAGATAAGAGTAAAACAATTTTCGAAGTATTTGGTGCCAAGTTATATCTATATTTTGTTAACACCGAAAATCACTCAAAATTATACTGTACTGTACAAATCACAAAACATCAAAATAAAATAGGTATTTCGGAACAAACTTATTGATTTTCTGGAGATTTTCTTGTCCAAAGTAATTCTCCAAAATAATCTCCAGAAAATCATTGAGTTTGTTCCTAAATACCCATTTTATTTCGACGTTTTGTGATTTGATATTATTGTTTATTGAGTTCTTGTTACAATACTGTATAATTTTGAGTAATTTTCGGTGTTAACAAAAAATAAAAATAATTTTGCACCAAAAACTTTGAAAATTATTTTACTCTTCAAAAAAATTGACCGTGGTTAACACCATAGTTGTGTAATTTGTAATATTACAGGCTTCTAAAATAGACCGTCGTATACAGGATGCTGTCTATTTATTTATTTTTAAAAAATGGGTAAAAAAATAAAACTCCACTCAGATGGCCATGACTTCAAATCTTGATGTACTTTTCAATGCTAAACAACTATTTTGAATAACATTTCCCGAGATTTTTCAAAATAAGAGTACTTTACTCTTGTCTCAAAATCATATATTTGAAGGCTTCTCGTATATTACGTGTGTTTTACTGTATTTCGTTGGTGCATGAATATTTTTAGGAGATACACAAACTTTTATCAAGAATAACTTTTTGTTGAAAAACCCTTAATTAATAAGTTTCCCATATGGTGCATACTTTGGGGATGACACTGTATATACTATATATACATACTATCTATACAGTAAGGTCTATTTAAGAATTTATTTCTTATACTATGAAATGTTCCTGGGGTAATTTTGTTGCAAACACCTCTCTTTTCATCCCACGAATCCTAAAATGAGCCATGGTTGTATATTTACATTTCTGATGTCACGAATCACCTCAAAATATCTAGAGGTGCCACATCAGTTGATCCAGTGATCCATTTTAAAGGACCACGTCTACTTGTTCACCGGTTAGGAAATTCGACAAACAAAAATTAATTTTCAACAATTGTTTACGTTCCAGCAAGATGAGTGTCTATATGGAAATTATCTAAACCTGTCGATAGGCAAAAATGGTCTATTAGATAGACCCATTAGATCACCTGATATGACGCTTTTACATTGTGTTGAGGAGATATGTGACATTTGAAGTGTACGATATACAACCACAATTCATTTCAGACTTCGTGGATATAAAAAGAAGTGTTTCAACTGAATAACCCCAGAAACATTTCATAATGAAAGAAATAAGTTTGTAAACAGGCCATATTTTTCTACGAAAGTAAGTGGTGAACATTTTGAACATGTATTTGAATGAAATAAATTGAATTATGAATGAATTTTCTCATGAAATTATTATATTCATTGATTATCTGCAGATTGTCAAAACGATTCCTAAAACTACCAATTACTTTGGAACGGCTGAGTAAGACATTGTGTTGGATCAAGAATCAAATTTCCTTTTGAACGAGGTATTACATGAACCCCATTTCTATCTAAAAAAACTAGTTGGTAGCGCCATCTTGGCGAAGATGTAATGCAACACTTATGTCTTTTACGTTGACTATTTACGTTTTCATATACAGGCCGATTTTTAGCTGATGCCACAATTGCTATCTCGGAAACGGTAAGACCTACAAGGTCGGTTAAACTGGACGAAAGTGTCCTATTTTGAATAACTAGAATAATATCTTTTCAGATTGAAAATATCAGTGATCATTTTTTAAATATTCGCCAAAAACTAGAATTGTCCAGACCATTAACCAGAAAATATCGAAATATCAACCATGATTCTAGAAAATAGAAAAAATGTTTGCCATAAACGTTGATAAAATATCTTCAAGTAAGTTACTCATTGTTGAGACGCCCCTGAACTATCATTCAAATTGATAAACCCAATCTAAATAAAAATATAAATTAATATTGCTCTGAGTGAACAATTTGTGATAACACACACAATCATGCGTGAGCTATTGATTTCTAACACCCAACCTCCTATCTTCAACAGACTACAAACTAAACAACTAAAGGATCTGTCCATTGAAAAACTAGTGAAAACTAGTAGTGAGTGTTGTTCTATCGAACTTTGTCCCAATCGGTATCTCGATACTGAATCGCTTTCAAAAATTCGAAATCGATTTGTTTCCGTTACTTGGCATACTCCATATGACATTGATTCAAACAATGTGGATCAAATTCCAGCTATTTTTTTCATTAAACAGCTCTATTTACAAGGATACAATGTTCTATTACATTTGGCGGGAAGAAATTTGACGAAGTATCAAGTGAGAAGAATTTTGGATGCAGTAAGCAGTTATGGAATCAAAAATATCTTTGTTCTTCAAGGAGGTATGTACCAGTGCTATTGAAAATAGACATAAATGAAACAAAACTATTCGAAATTTTGAAATTAAACAAATACCAGAATATATAACTTAATCGATACAATCTTATAAAAATAGCTTTTAATTGTTTAGATGTATAAGTTTATGATAAAACCGTAATATCTTCAGCTACTTTTGAACGTTGAATTATACTTCAAATGTGAAAAATACCCAAAAAATATTAATAATAATCTGGAGAATGCAGCCTTTTCAGACCAAAACCTCAGGGATTACGTATCATATCTTCGGGGGCAGTGCTATATGGCTACTCCCTGGCCTGCTAACAAAGTGGTGGAGGTGGCAGTTCAACAACCGTTGGCACGACTGAAGAGGAGACTGGCATCATGCCACCAATGTAAAATATTAGAATTGGGCCCCTAGAACCACAAGTACTGGGTTGTTTGGATGCAGAGCTTCATAGTGTTCTAACATTAGAGTATTAAGTTCTACATATGAAAGTTATAGTAAAAGGCGAAGTTCAATTTTCGCAGCTATTCAAATAACTACTAAACTGTTCTGTCAAATTAACAACGCCGTATAAAGCACCGTTCAATCGATTTCCGAATCAAAATGACGAAATCCCAACCTCACGGAAGGTTGAACGACAGGTACACAAGATGAAGGCTAAAATCACGTTGGCGGGACAACACGCGTCTCGTTTCCAATGTGTGATGGATTACAATATGTCCAACAGACCTTTCACACCCGCAGCTCACTTATATCAAGATTGTATATAATCCGCCGAATGCTAATCAGGTGGAATTCTTCTGGAAGAACATCTACAGCAGCTTAACTTAAGCACTTCAGCTCTAGCGCAGTTCGAAGATTTCAGCAGAGAGCTTCGACTGCGCAACCCAATAACCCCGAATGATGTTCGAAGAGTCGTTGTGGGTTCTAAGAAAGTTGCTGCTCCTAGACCTAGCCCTTATTGGTGGGGAAAACTGCTAAGCACTCACAGCCATCTGGCCAGAGTATTCAATTCATGGCTGGGTCAATATCAGCCGATTCTGGATTGGTTTGTTGAGGGGCAAACAGCTCTCATCCCCAAAATCGAATATTAGTCGATTCCCAAGAATAACAGACCGATTAAATGCTTAAATTTATGTTATAAGTTGTTTACGATCATCTCAGACATACGAATACTCACCGCAGTTGACCGAGTATTCGAACGGATATATAAGCAGAGAAGGTCGAAGAGGGGAGTCGCTGCATGTAAAGAGAACTTGCTTTTCGATAGATATGTAACGCAGGATTCGATACAGTGTAAGCGTAACCTCTCTATAGTTACCGCAAGGCATTTGAAGAATGCAAACCCGATAAAATAGTGAGATGCCTTGAACAACTGATATCACTCTGACTGACTCTCTTCACCATAACATTTGGTCAGGCTAGAGTTAAAACAGAGTGGGTCATCTTCAGTGTGTTTCAGGGCGATTTTCTCAGTCTCCCGACAACAGAGAGGCCGTAGCTTTTTGAATATGGAGTGTCTACATGATAGAATGGTACTGGATGAAGCTTGTGACGTCATCAGAAGTTCGTGTCCCCTCCTCTGCATGGTCGGTAATCATGAGAGAGCAAGAATTGGAGCATTTCTCTTTTAGGCAGCTGCCCGAGTAGCTGATGAACTCGGTTTAGTTTTCGGCACTGAACAACACTCTAACCGAGTTGGAACCCGTTGAAAACCGATATCACTTCACCCCTGCGGCAACACAAGGATGAGCCAGTGCATGGGATCCTCTATAACAACATTGAAGACTTCAGCTCATCAAAGCACTTGACCTTCACTTTCTTTAGGTCGAGTGGGCTGAAGTCGGAAACCAAGGGGTTCATCATGGCCTGCCAGAATTGTGTCTTCAACACCTTAGTCCACCGCAGTCGCGTGATGGGTATAGAGGTTACTGACACATGGTGCAGGGCCTGTCGCCTGAGACCCTAATGCACTTGCTGTCAGCATGTCCAGCATATGCGGTGTCAGACTATATCCATCGATATAACACGGCCCTAATAGTGCTCTATTTCCATATACAGCACTTTTATGGTATTAACAATACACCGGTGTTCCCCACACTCCAGGGGAGTGTGGGGAACACCGAGGGAAAGTGAAAATTGCCAATACATTTGGCACTTTTCATTCTCCACCCTCATGCTTGCCGCACAATGGTAGAAATCTTGGCCCGACAAATGCAGAAGGATGTCGCTCATGCGTGTACTTAGAACATATGATGATTATCGGACCCCATTCTCACTTACCCCACGGTGTGGGGAGTGCTCATTGATTGATATACTGGTTCGTCCTCCAGACTGTGTCGGAGCTTTGGAGACAGGGCCTGACCAGCTCACCCTTTGGGAAAAAATAATGATAATAATACTGATTATGATGATAATAATAAACAGGGATAGCCGGACTGGCAGTCCTAGCTCACACGGAAGGGAAAACTGAACACTTCCTCCGATGCCGGCTACGGGTCTATGAGGCTTACCTCCTAATAGATCCTATACTTAGCAGCGAGAAGCATCTGCAACAATTTCCCCAGAGAGAAAACCTCAATATCTTTATCGGATACAATTCAATACTATGAGTTATGAGTTGAATCATGATAACGACGTAGATTTGGAAGAGAAATATTCAAAATGGGATGGATTTGAGCATTCATAATAATTGTTCATCAACCAATAGATTTGAATAATGTTCTTGTGTTAAATTTGTTTTGTAATTTTGTAATTGTTAATTAGGGTAAATTTCATTTATGGTACCTAATATGAAGTTTAGGTAATTTTTGTTTCGATTATAGATACATCCAAATGTTGAAAATTCATTAGATTTGTAGTGAAACTCATTGTGGTTCAAATTACTATAATATGTAGGAAGCAGAATGTGGAAACTAGGTTAGTACTGAACAGGCCTATATACTTGAGTAACTTTTGTCTAGTGAAACAAGTGTCACGGGTTTCTGTCTGTCTGTCTGTTTTTCCGTTAATCAGCTGTCGCCCCCATACGAACGACAACTCTCAGAAGTTGGGAAACTTGTGCGAGCTAACAACTAACGAGGTCTTACCTTTAAATGTGTGATTCCTAACACGGTTGCAGAATCATCCCCGCTTCAACCAGATAAATTCTCTCAAAAAATATCTGGTCGAGGCGGGAATCGAATCCACGATCTTCCGATCGTGAGTCGGGCACACTACCACCGCGGCCAATTCCACAACAAACTAACAATTTAAACAAACTTTTTTGTCAACTAACAATTTAAAATTTCACAATGAAGTATCATTTGAATATGTTATAATTGATTTTCATCAAGTATCGGCCAGTTCCATCAGATATCTAAAAACTACTCCCGAGAAAAATAATAAACTCGAAAGTCATGCAGCCTTGAGTACAAAACACCTTATACTTATATATAACACGATTACAAGTCGCCATTATGTTAAGCTGGTACCTTTAGTTCCCTTGAAAATAAAAAAAAATCCCTTGACATCAGTGTATTTTTGATTACTCCTCATCTAGTTGTTCATCTCATAATTTTTTATAAATATCGATACACTATTTCTATTAACTCTCTTCAGGAGAAATTACTAGTATACATTTTTTGATCACCTACTGAATTATCTGAATCTTTATTTCCTAGATCCCTCTGAGAACAAAAAACAAAAAAATGAAAACTGTGACTTTCCGTATGCTGCTGATTTGGTAAAATTCATTAGGAGAAATTATGGAGAATTCTTCACCATCGGAGTAGCAGGATATCCAGAAAAGCATCCAGAAGCTGAAACTATGGAGGCTGATATTGAACATCTGAAAGAGAAGGTAAAATCAACTGTGCGTACTATGAAACATTTTATGAAAACTAACTTTTCCGGGTTGTCCATATGGTAACTAAATTATGAACGTTAATATAAGTTTTTATAAAAGGTTTTATAAACTATGCGCTGTTTTCTGAAAGTTAGATCTAGTGAATCATTTGGTCTGATTTTATTGATCTTTCCAGTTTGTCCAGGTTTCTGGACGATTAAAATCCAAAAATTAAATTTTTCAAAAGTACTTCAGATATTTATTTTGATTCTGAGAAGTTCTTATATTTTCAAACAAATAGTGAGACATTTTTATACTTTAAATCGCACAAGATTGAATCTTTTAGGGTTGATATTTGAATGAAGGTTACGTCTGTTAAATAGAAAAACTCGTGATGGTCTCTCTGCAGATATTTTTTTTTGGGAATGAATGCTTATGGTTTTCTACTTCTCTACTGCCTTGGGTTATCATATACATTCCTCATAGTCGTAGGGAGCTGTGAGGGAACTGGTCTGTCAGTTATTAGAAACGCAAGTTTCTGAATCTACAAAGTAGAAATTCTATTCTTTCTTCATTTAACATCTCAATTCGAAAGTTCGCCCGAAAAGATGACAACATTCATGAATGCAGATTACTGACTGACTGGATTCTCTACTGATTTAGCTTTGTTCATTTTTCAGATTGTGGAAGGTTATGAAACAAAGTTCGTAGTCGAAGATTATTTCGTAAAAATTAAAAATAGCTATGCTAAAACGGGATGTTCTTCAAAGCCCTAAGCGCATATTTAACATATATGAGAAGGGCTGCCGCCTAAATCTGCATACATCTCAGCAAGTATTCGCTTGTAAAGGTGCCGAAAGGGTCCACCTAATCTCACAAGAACATGCTAAGAATGTTTCCATAGTTGCATGTGGTAATGCTATAGGCCAAATGATTCCACCCATGATACTGTTCAAACAAAAAAGAAAGAAGAAGGAATGGCTGGATAATTCACCTGCTGGAACAGTTATTGAAATGATCGAGAAAGGAAGCATGACCACACCAGTGTTTATTAAATGGGTATACCATTTTGCTAAGTACAAGTCTGTGGGAAAAGTTTTACTGATTTTTGATGGAGCATCCTCCTACCTGGATGCAGTAATGTCGATGCAGCTAAGTCGCATGACATTACACTGTTTTGCCTGCCAAAAATTGTTCTCATGAGCTACAACCCATGGATAACGCTATATTTAAGGCATTTGAGAGTTACTGGGATGACGAAGTAATTACATATTGGACAAACCAGCCAAATCAGACAATAAGCAAATTTATATTTGGCACCATTTTTTTGAAAGTGTGGCCAAAGGTAACCGCAGCTTCTAATGTAATATCAGGTTTCAGAGCAACGGGAATATACCCTTATGATAGTACTACCTCCGAGAGTTCCAATGTCAATGATAGCTCAGATGATGATAAGACCATTGCTGCACCACAAGCATTATGCATTAGTTTCAAAATTCTCGAAACGCCAGAAATAGAGACAAAAAGACAGAGGAGCAAGAAAAAAATCCTTAAATTACACTGGTCAACAAAATTTTAACTGTTTTTTGTCACATGAAAACTTATATCAAACTTTGAATCTACTAGGGTCACTAACCAATATTGTATCAATGAAAAAAATTGACACAACTGGTTTTGTGGTGAAAATTACAAAAATCAACTATACTCAGAGAAATTATTACTTACTGTACAATAAATATATTTATGATTTTCGTGAATATTTGTCTTCTGGTAGGTCTCTCCTGAGTTTCCAACAATAATCTGTTAGCATTCCTGGGCTCCATTTCCATTGATAACGCTTCTCTATTAAGTAAATGTTCTGATGGAATATCTTCCCTTGTTCGTCACTCACAACACCCAAATCTAGATGTGAGTTAAACATACGTATTTTTAGGGCACATTACACCCCAAAGCTTTATCTGACATTATTAGTTCCTCTATTAAGTCTTTATGTTTTTCGCTTTATGATTTCCTAGGAAATTTTGGACAACACTCACAAAACATTTCCAGGCGATTTTTTCCTAGTCATTTAATTCTTCTTCAGAGCTATTATCCTTCATAAGTTGTATTTGCTAGCCTACAAATATTCTCCCTTCAATTTTCGCGTCGATGAGTTTGGGGAATTTCTCTTTCAGATATAAAAATCCACTGACATCTTTGCCCATAGCTTTTACAAATTTTTTCATCAGGCCGAGTGCAACGGAGGTAAAAGTATGTCATCAGGGTTCACTAAAGGCTCATTTTTAACATTTTTACGGCCTGGAGTGACTCATGCTTGAGCCATATTTTATTTTATTAGTGAATGTTTCTGTCTCTGCTGTCCCATTCGCAAATAAAAGAACAAAATTTTGTGTAATCAACATTTACTCCAACCAAATAATACATAACTTTCCAAGAAGAAATCTCATATTTTCGTAAGTCTCTTCCATATCAGAGCAACCGGCACTGAAGGGAGTTCGTTTCTGTTATGCAGCAACACTGCTTTCAAACTAGTTTTTGAGGAGTCAATGAACAGTCGCCAGTGACTTGGATCATATTCAAAATTCAATAAATTCATCACAACATAAATATTATTACAATGGACTTTAAGTAAGGTTTTATTTCATTGTTACAATGTCGAAAATAAGAAACTTTTGTATCAGGAGAAAGTAAATTCCAGTCCTTTAATCTAGACCCCAAAAGCTCAGCCTGTTTATTTAGACAAATTCAAATCAACATACGTTCTTTTGAAGTTTACGGTTCATAACTTTGGTCACTATCTTCATATTCCTGACGCGAACAAGTTCTGCCGGACTGGAATCCCAACTTTCTGGTCGATTTGAAGGCTTCGGCACAAGCAGTTCGGCACTATGTAGAATGGGTCTCTTGGCCGAAGACAAGTTTGGATACTGGATAGTATATTTGGACTTCGTTGCCTTTTATTTTTGTTTGACTCAAATAAAAGTCCAACCTAATAGGAGTCTCACACACGTTACACAACATTTATCTGGGACCCAGAATTTAGCTTGATGCTGCACAGTAAATCCAAAATATTCTTAAAAGCACTGTTCAATTAATGGGGTGAAATTTCGACGCTGGAATGTAAAAGCTGATTCTTCACACACATAACAAAACTGTCAGGGTTAGTAGAACACTTT